TTGTGAGAAAAGTTTACTAAACAGATATTATATTAGTAAAATGTTAACCATCTTTAGCAAAATACTTGACAGTTGTAAACTAACACCCAAAATTAAGTAAATAGGATGTTAGTCATTATAGCGAGAAAACAAACCTGCATTAGCGAATTGATATGTGAAAAGTTTGTTTTTCAGCTAGTGATTAGGCAAAGAGGCCAGAATATTTTAAATTTGCTGGGATAAATTTGGTGTTTTAGAATAATCTATTAGGAAATATGGCTGATGCTAGATGTTTACCAGTATTAAATTTGATTGCACTCATTCTTGCTAAAAATAAGCTGTATACAGACCAAGAACCTCCTGACGATTATTTGGATAGGTTTATTTAATTAATATCATTCATGCAAGAACATATGACTATTCTTAAAAATGCAAATACTAGAGATTTTGATAATGCTGTCAAGTGTAATATTTATAAAGTTCAGATAGAAGGAAAATATTTACCAGTTCTAGCAAATGATCCTTATACTAATCCTGTAACTCCTATTAATATTTCAGATACTTTACGTGCTTGAATGAGATCACATTATCAATGAGAAATAGTAAGTAATCAGTAGTCAGCACTTTAAAGATTAACTTAAGAAAAATTTCTACCCATAGACTCGCCAGATACTTATGAAAAAAGAATCTGACCTTTATTATTAGATGTAGCAGATGGTGATACACAAACTATAGAATTTCTTAGGAACTACTTATTAGGAGATCTTTATACATAGATGCAAGCTGTCACTCCTGTTACTATTAATGCATTTTTTATAAATCTAAAAGACATATGGTTGGAACGTGTTCTTAATTTAAATAGGGTCAAAATTATTAGAGTAATTTAGCTAAGATTGAAAAGTTAAATTTCCAAATAGCCTTCCTTGAAGCACAGTTAGTTCAACTAATTCAGGTATAACCCTAAAATAATGATGTCTTAGAAAAGATGTATATACGTATAGTACAGTTGAAAATGCCAGTTGATATACCAAAAGATCTTACATCCTTAGATAATTTTAATAATGACAAATTAATAAGAAGATTGGGCATTGCTAATACCAATTACACTAAACTTTCCAAAAAATACTCTCAAATGGTTAATGTGATCAAAAAGTTAGCCAAGCATAAATGCTCTAAATATGGTAAAGCTAATTATAATTCTCATAAGTGTTCCAGAAAAAAGAAGAGTAAGTTCAAAAAGGGTAAAGTAAATCTTATTACTTTAGATTCAGGTTCAAGTTCGGATACTAATTCTGATATGTTGTCTGATAACTATTCTGATTTTGGTTCAAGTTCTTCATCTGAATCTGAATCTGAAGCTAATATTAATGTTAATATTACTAAGACAAAAAAAAGTGAAGAAAGAATCAATTAATCCTCCCCCTTTATCACAAAAGAAAAAATCAAAGGTTACATTACGGCTAAGTCTCAAGAGATAAAAGATATAGAGACAACTCCTTTGGTTTCAACTCCTATTTCTAAAAAGAAAAAGCAAAGTTTAAAGTCACCGTCACAGGATAACTAATTCCGCTTGGAAAATATTATTGAGAAAATTATTAAAAAGGTGCTTAATAAAAAGGTTGATACCATTATAGCTTTTTTTTAATCGCAGAATTCTGCTTTCAGAATACTGGTTGATGATAAAGATGACTCTACTTCGAATACTCCTGAAACTCCAGACTCAGATGGAGAAAATGAAATTCTAAATGAGCCTATAGAAATCAATTTCATTCAAAAAGGATCTCGCTACTGATGTTGTTACTACTAAGTATAAAATTAAGCGTCTGGTCATTCCAGATGCCATGGTTGATTCCAGTGCTAATTTTGCAATTGTGATTGATGATATAGCCAAATGATTAAAACTAAAAATTGATACAAGTAAAAGGCATAACCTTAAAGGCGTTACTACAGTTCTTATAGAGTTGCTTAGTATAGCTAGGAATGTATCAATATATTTTGCTCCTAGGTGTACCATATATTCTGATTTTGCAGTAATTAAAAACCATCTTGGAAAACTGATGCTAATTTTACCTAATACTTTACTTGATAAATATAACTATGATTTATTTGTATCGAAATGAGAATTAAAACTAGAGTGTAATAGTAAGGAATTTTTTATCCCAATTAATATACATAAGGTCAAGAACAAGCTCAAGGTAAATTATGCGAACATTATTTCTGAATGTGACAATTCTTCGACTTTAGATAAAATTTCACAGGATTTAAGTAAAGATGGCATATTAAAAAAAAGTGAGTTATGAAGAGCTTGAAAAAATGCTATATAGCACTCTTAAGTATAATTCAGAAATCAATGAGTTTTGCAAAAGTCTTCTTAAGGAATAGGCAAGTTATTTTCAGAATAACACTACTTTTTTACACCTATAATTTTTGTGCTTTTTTTGACTACCTTCTCATATAATGCATCCAAATTTATATTATTTGTATTCTTCTTTGAAGCTGGAATTTAGCTGAGTCTCAATAGATAGTACTGGCAAAGCTAACGTGAACTTAAACTTCAACTTCTTTCCTCCAGTCTTTTTTGTCTTCTCACCTTCTTCTAAAACTGAATCAATAAATTTACTAGGCTCTATCTTAACATCACATATTTGTTTTTCCAGTTCTGTAAATGGAAAACATTTTGATCTTAGATCTCTGATTTGATCTGTCTGCCTACAATATTTATATTAAAAAGTGAAGCAGTTCCTTCAGAACCAGCTGTTGACATATGAATTTGTTAATTTCACGCAATCCTATTTTTTTCACCTCTTCAGATCTGATAAATACATTTTTGTGATATGCGATATTTATCTGTTAAATCCTTTAAAACTTTATCTTTAGGCTTTTTTTCAGTATATTGCATAATTTGATCATAATCAGCTGATAAAAAAGAAGGGCATCACATTTCATGCATTGCCTAAGTATGGTAGCAATATTTTTTATATATCTAATATAATATTCTGAAATAATTTATTAAATAAGATATATAGAAAAAATGTATCATTCTGAATATATAGGATATACAGGATATATAAGAAGATAATATTCTAGATGTATAGGATATACAGAATAAACAGAATATTTAGAAAAAATGTATTATTCTAAATAAACAGATTATGTCTATTATCTTGAAAATTTATTTGTGCATTTTTTCTTGCTATATAACCATGCCAATATTATGCCTAATATGTATACACTGAAAGATATAAAAGATATAGAATATCAGCTGAGTAATACATATGAGCAAGAGCTCGAAAAAAATTAAGATATACTATTAATTTTAACTCTGAATTATTAACTTCAACGAAAAGTTGCAGGCTAAAAATTCAAAATGAGAAAAGGAGTTTCAGTGAACCTATGCTGATATTGAAAATAAGATTGGCCAGTTAATGCATCAAGTACTAAAGTTAGATCCTAACTTATTTCTGAACAGAAATCTCATTCTGAGAGTCAACGTGAGTTTGAAGTCAGATATACTGCCAAAATCAAATCGCTTAAATTAAATATTAAAATACTAAAGAGAGAGGTAAATTTGGCATAGAAAGCTTCATCTGCTGATAAGATTCAGATTCTTTCTTTTAAAGCTAAAATACGTGAATTAGAAGGTAAGTTAGAGGACATAGATCTAGAGTGTACATATCATGATTTGGATATAATAGGAGGGGTGATAGAGGAGTTAGTCCAAATAAGCTTATCTGAATCCAAAGAGATTAATTCTCTCAGACTTGAATTAAAGCGAGCAAATAAAGACCTAAATTCAAAAAAATATGAAATAGAATGCATGGAAAAAGGAATAAAAGTGACACATGAGATAACCAGTCAGGAAAGAGATGCTTTGTCTTCAGCGCGATTAAATTTAATAGAGAAAATAGATTGCTATACAACCAGTTAGTGTTAAAGAAAGAGCCAAGAAGTGCTTCATATTATGAAGTAGATCCTCCACTTTTATCTATGAATAATTCATCATATACAGCATCTTCTGACTAACCTTTCGCTCTTAATCTATCGTCTCAAATAATTTCTGTAAGTAGTGCAGAAGTGGTATCTTTACTAGCAATTACTCCTATCATTATAAGTTCCTTGATATCACCTATATTAATATATTCTATACTTACCCTAGTACTTATTGCGATTATATGGCTCATAGCCAGGAAATGTTAAGAATTTGTGAAAAAAAAGTAACCAATTTTTTACATATGGAAATTATATAAATAGGGGTTATGCAAAGCATCTCATTCTATGATCAGGCCAGAAGAGATATTTGCCTTACAAACCCAGATTGAATATAGAAATTAAAGTTAATCGATATTATTGTATGAGAAAAAATATGCGGTCATAAATAATATTGCAAGTACTCTTAGCTGAAATTATCACACCTCCACTAGAATACTTAATAATATTATCTATTTAAATACTTTGCTAACGCTTCTATCCTCAAGATGGAAATACCATAAATTACTAATATCATTTAGCGCCTCAATTTTTAATATATGAAGTAAGGTGAGTAGGTCAGCAATTATCTCATTTTTTCGTATGGATGAAAATGAATCAATTTCTTCTGGAATTGATACATACTCTTTATAATGTATATGATAGACTAATTTATGAAAAAATAAATTATACTCTTCAATACACTTTGCAAGCTTGCTAGGATATCAAGCAAAATCAGAGCATATTTTTTTCTTAATTTTGTTATCTACCAATAGGTTTTTATCTTTTGAAATTTTTCTAGCATATTTCATAAATTTCTCCTATAATACCTAAACAGGATCACTTACTATGAAAATTTCATAGCTAAGCCATCTATCATGAAATATTTTATATGAACTACCTATCTTTTGATATAATATTTCTTGTGCTTTTTTAATCACATTTTTATAGGCGTGTTTATAAGCATTTTTACGAAATATCATCATCTTAAAAGTAACATTATTCACTATAATATTCTTTTTTACAAATTTTTCAAGCCATGACTTAGCCTTGTTTTAAGTATAATCATCAATCTGCTTATATTTCTCATCTGGGTTTTCAATTCGCATAATTCTACTAGAGGATGCTAACTTATACTTTTTATCATATATGATAAATCAAGCATAGAGTTCAACAATAGTTTTTTTCAAAATAATAATATAAATCTAGCTCCTTTTCCAATTCTTTCGTTACATCAGCGAATTCTATTTTTTCACCCTTAGTTAGCGTTAATTTTTTACCATGTAAATCAAAAGTGTTTTTAGGATGAGTCACTATATAACTAAAGTGCTCGCCCAGTATTGGAATTTTACTGTTGTATTTTTCTCTCATTCGACTTATAAACTGCAAAATAGCTTTGTTGTCTACATCAGGTTTCTATACATTAGTCTCTATAAACTGCTCAAAATCCCATTGCTTAGGATTGATTATGACATCTTAGAGAATACCTTCAACAATTTTATAAAGGATGCATTCATTATTGACATTTCTGACTTTATTCATAATCCATTCACCTATAATCTTAAAAAGCTGGGATTTGTCTTATTTCACAGTATCAATTCCTCTAATGAAGGGTTTCTTCAGACTGAAGTTTACTGTATCTTCATGAGGGATACCAAAATATTTTTTCTTTTTAATAGATACTACTGGGAATAATACTTCTTCATAGTGCTTCAAAACTGGTTTTCAGTCTTTAGTTTTAGTTTATTTATTTAGTAACTGGGTTTAAAAAAAAATTTTAAAGATCTGGTAACTGATTTTTTAATATAAAATCAGTTTTAAAACTCAAATCAGTTTATGATTTCAAACCAGTTTATATATAAAATTAGTTTAGAGATTTAAATTAAAATTTAAAATATTTATTTAGAATAGAAAAATATATTTAAATTAATTTTATATTAAAATTTGTGAATTGTAATACAATGTAATTTATCAATATACCATCTTATTCTTTGTTTAATTTTTATTTCAAAAAATAGATAAAACTAATAATAAACGTAAACAAGAAAATTCAAGTATTATTTGGGACTACTATTTTGAGGAGTATAATGAAGAGGAAAAACAGTTATATCTTGTTTGTTAGATATGCAAAAATAAAAGTATTATAAAATATTATAAGTGGATAAAAGGTTCTTCAACTACTATTACTCAAAAACATCTTTAGCAGAATTATAGAATTGATAAAAATCATTCAGAAGAGCCAATAAATACAACTGGTGATATTAGAACAGTAATGAAATATATTACTATAAAGCATCAATTATCTTTGAAACAGTCTTTTATAACTTTATTATTGTTGATTGTCAACTATTAAATATCCTCTAAAATGATGCATTTTAAAATATGCTTCATGAATTTGAATCAGGATTTAGAATACTAACTGAAAAAAAATGCAAAGAAATGATATGCAATAGTTATAATTGGATAAAAGAAAATCTTAAAGAGTTATTAAAATCTAATGCAAATAGCATTAATATTATAACAGATCCTTGGACTTGTCATCAAAATAATGGCTATATTAGTGTAACAATTTTATGGTATGCAAATAGCATTAATATTATAACAGATCCTTGGACTTGTCATCAAAATAATAACTATATTAGTGTAACAATTTTATGGTTAGACCAGAAAATAAAATTACATAAAGCATTAATTAGTATAGAATTATTACCTAATCTACATACATCTGAAAATATTAAAAATTGTTTAAATACTATTCTTGAAATTGGAATTTAAAAGATAAGTATTTTGCAACTATAACAGACAATAGCCCAAATATTAAAAATGCAATTTCTTTAATGAATAATGTTGAAAAAATAGGCTGTGCTGCACATA